AAAAAATAGAATAGTATTTCTCAAATAATAAAACAAATAAGTATTTTGATAATAGGATTGAGAATATGGATAGGAATAATAAAACAAACGGAGCCTAAGTGTTACAAGTTATAATTGTTAATTTAGGGAGTTGTTATAGTATATATAATTGGGCTCTCTCGGGTTTGTGGGTCTAGACCTTGACCGCTCATGCGTGTGGATTTGGATACTAACCGTGCACATCGAGCGTGATTTGTTTGCCTGAGTCCTACTTTGTTATAGTGTATAGTTAAGCTCTCTTCTCCCTTGTTATGGTATATATATCAAATATCGAGTTCTACTCTAAAGTGTATATATATACCTATATAGTTTGACTCTTTCCTCCTCTATTATTGTATATATATATATATATATATATATATATCTATTATATATATATATATATATATAATACTACACATATATCATTTTCATACAATATTTTTTATACAATATTATGTGGGAAGATGTGATTGGGTAAAAATTTAATTTTAACTTTAAATTAGTCAATCATATATTATCACATAATGTTATATAAAAATGATGTATGTGTAATATTACTCTATATATAATTGAACTTTTATCTCTTTCTTCCTTGAGTTTTTATCCCGACCTGTTTATCAAAAGTATGAGGTTAGTAATTTTGTGGTTACAACTATTTTTTTAATGAAACTAACTCTAAATTGATTATTTAATTGTCACATCTAATGGGTTAATCTTGATGTTATTTGTCTTAAAGCAATTTTCGACCGGCCTGGATGGTGACCTTATAATAAAATTGACATGGATGATTGTGATGGGCAAATCTCAGCTTTATCAAGACTCTCTGTTTGGTCACAAGAGCTCCACCATTCATCTCCAGGATATCATGATATCAAAATATTGAATTCTATATGACATAATAATGTCATGCATTTTTTCATAGAGGAAATGATGTATGAAAAGAATTCCATTGTCTCATAATATAAAAGGTCTTAAGATCCAATTAAGAAGATGGTTTAAATATAAATATATATATAATTAAAAATAATGATGCACACATGATCATGTGGAAACCATCATACATTTGATTCCACTATTATTTTTATGATAATCTAAATCACCGACTTAGCCCCATATGTTTCAGTTTTCGAGGCACCCTAATCTCAACCCTAAAAGTTGTCACCATTCGTGTTTTGTTAATGGTTACAGTACCCAGAATAAAAGACAAGGTCTCCCCTGTTCCCGTACGGCCTTATTAGCTAATATTCATCTTAATTATTCTTAATTCAATTTTTTTTTTGATGGTCAGTCTGTTTTGTTATTTTGGATAGGGTTTTAGGAATAATATTAGGTAGTTAAATATAGTAAGTATTACAAGGTAAAATTTAAAAATTAATAAAAAAACCCCATAAGTTTACTAATTTAACTAAACACTCTAATATATAAATTTTTTTTGTAAAATGACAAAAAAACCCATACCTACCTACAATGCCAGACTTTGGCCACCATCATCAGGATCTGGCTAGAAAATGGCGTTACGATGTAGGTGATGGATCTGGCCAAAAAAGGCCAGATCTACGACCAGATCTGACTGTCGAAGGCCGCAAAAGTCCAGATCTAGCCGTCAGCGATGACCATAATGACGATCGTCGTTTATAGCCAGATCTACTGTGGATCTGGCTGGAGAATGCTAGATCAGTAAATTACCAACCAGTTCTGGTCGTTTGTAGGCTGTTGTGACAGATTCCGACAACAATCTGGCAATTATGGGTGAGTGGGGGTGTTTTTGTTAATTTTTAAATTTTTTTTTTCTGGGGTATTTAATAAAATTAATAAACTTAAGGGGTCTAAAAGTAATTAAAGAATATACTAATATTTCCTAAATAATTAAACAAACAAATATTTTGGGAATATGGATAGGAATATTAAACCAAACGTACCCTTAATAATTTTATATATATCTCAACTAATCTTTAAGATAATTGAATACCCTATAAATTCAAAAGATTAAATAAATCACAATATGATAAATGACTCTAATATTCGAACAAAAAAAGTTAATGAAAAAAATAAACCTCATTGATCACAAATTCCTCAATTCAATTTCTTGCTTAATTACTTATTAACCAGAGTCGGGTTTTCACTTTTCATAAAACATCCATGGTTAATTATTGAAGGATCATAGTAGGGAAGCTTAATGATGATTGCTGATACAGTCAATCATAGATAGTTGAATGATAAACACAAAAAAGTGTGTTTACATAATTACCCATTAATTACAAAATAATTTCTTAATTAATTAACCCTTCTCCCTCTTTATGATTATGACCTTCACGATTGTAGAATTTTAGCAATCTCACAAGATCGTCCCAAACAAACGTGGCCTCTCTCATGACATGCAGGGTCCTCTAAACAAACGTAAATATGATATTGGGTTTGAGTAGAACTCACCTTCAAAATCTAACGTAAAAAAAAATGAGGAAATTCAACCATATATAACCATTGCAACTTAAATCTCCAGATCCTTGTTTTGAGTAATGTGTATATTGAAATGGTTGAAATATATAAAACTAAGTTTGTTTTGTTTGTTTGTTTGTGGCTGTTGTTGTTTATATAATTAATCTTGGAAGAGTGATACTGATATAATTTCACATGATATTGCAGCTTCGTTGTCAACGAATGGAATCAGATCTTGAAAAGGAGGGATCTGGGTTATCAAGTTAATGCATTTTTTTGTCTGTGTGTGCGTAACAGGGAGTGGAAGGTCAAATATTCTCGTGACTCAGTTATCCAGGAGAGAGGCTAATTACAGTAGAAAACGTCATTCAGCCTGGCTCAGTTTCTTCTATTCTTTAAGTCTGACGTACGTTGATTAAGAGAAAATCAGAAAAAACTGTGAACTTTTCTGTGTAAATACAGTGCTCACATGTCGATTGGCGGAGCTCGCTGAAGAAAAATATTATAGTGTCAGAAATCACACCTTCTTTAAGCAAGTCATTAATATTATATAGGCTTATATTTGACAGTACATTGTTGACGTTGCGTTTTCATCTGCAATCTGGGTTCAGTCTCTGAGAATGGAGGTCTGGTCAGGTAGTACTTATCCGACCACCACATGTGATCTCTTATCTACACACTGCGCAGCTCATCATATCAATGACATTGACTTTTCATAACCCATTTAACATTTTCTTTCTTCACTTCTGCTGCAATTTTTGTAATACACTTGTAGTTGCAGCTTGGTAAATGCGTAATCCTACTCAAATGGGCTATATCTACTTTCGGCCTAATGGATTCTGCTTTGGGCTTCATTGTTCTCAACATTTTTGTAAGACCAATCCAAGATTAACGATTCTAGAGTCTACAGAAATTTACTTCCAATGATTAGTTTGATACTAAAGCACCAACAAAAATAGGTGATGAGCTCATGAAGTTTCATATTTTTTCATTGGAGTTGCCAATGTCCTATATTAAGTGTTATAACCTAAGCCTGATAAGCAAATTCGCAATACAAATAACCACACACAAGATTAAAGATCAAAGAATCACACATATAACACAAGACACGATTTTACCGTGGTTTGTCTATCCAATCTTGGATAGACTACGTCCACGTTGATCTTCGAAATACGAACACTCACAGCACTAAGAAGATATTCAACGATTACAAGAAGACAATCATACAAATCTGCCAAAACAGATTAATACCCAACCAAGGCCTATTCACTCAAGAATCTCTCAATAATCTGCAAGAAAACAGAGGACAAATACCAGCCTCTAGAAGGAAACGCAACCCTCTCTCACAATCAACCCAGATTACACCTAGAAAGACCCAGCAAAAACAACCCTAGTTTTTTCTCTTTTGCAAACCCTAATACCCGATTAACAAAAAACGCATTCTACGTTTTCATCACTATTGCTTTCTTTATATATGTATGCATTCGTAATCCTCAGCCCTTGGATCTGTCTTGATCTGACGGCTAAGTTTCAGTAATGGCCTTAAATGAAACGACCCCGTTTTGGCTTCCAATGGACTTAAGTGAAACGACCCCGTTTTGGCTTCACATTATTTTCATTAAGTTTTCCTTTAATTTTGCCATTGAAGCTCACTGATTTATTCGGAAATCGCGTAACGAAAAATATACATTCAAAAATCATACCACATAAAGAAATACGATATTTATGTAGTTTGGCGTAACCGACCTATATCCATAGATGAGAGAAATTCATTATTGTTTCATAAGAATACACAACACCATAAATTCGATACGTAATTAACAAAACAGAAACAATCATAGTTTTTAACCGCACTTAACCTAACACCTTGATGTCAAACACTTTCTATTCTCACATTCTCATAACCTTGAATTAGTTCTCATTCATATATTTAAACGTAAGATATGAAACACTTATTTTCTAATAATAATCCCATAATTCTATTCTTATTTACAATTATATTCTTTATTAAATAGTTTTATTACCAACATATAATTCACATGAGAACAAATACAAAAACGAACCATAATATATCCTTGCATTATCAAACTTTGAGAAAACGGTACAAATTAGCAAAAGGTCAAGCGATTTTAATATAATTTTTTTACATAAATTCATGATAATCCAATGGCTTAAAAATGGTTCAACTGACGTTAAAAATTAACTAATTCTAAATCTTATCCAAATCCATTGGATTATATTAAATCAATAATTATAAATTTGTGTCCCACACTTTAAACTCGGTGACGTCGTATTTGTCTGTGGGCTTTCGCCACGTTTCCATCCACGAGCCCCACAAGTGAAAAAGTCTAAGCCTCAAAGGTTCTCGAACTTACACGAAAGTTCGTTAACCCAAAGCCCAGAATGTTTAAGCCAGAAAGTACTAGATTTCTCCTTTGTTTCTTATATATACCCAACTTATCCCTCTTCCCGATCGTCAAGCAACGATAAATTACAACGCTCTCGAGTCGCAGTGTCCAATTCAAACAAACAACTTTCAGCTCTAAAACTTTCGTCAGAGAAGATGGCATTGATCCCAAGCTTCTTCGGCAGCTCTCGAAACAGCATCTTTGATCCATCTTGGGACCCGTTTAAGGACTTTACTTTCCCTTCATTTTCCGCTCATTTCCCTCAACAAATCTCCTCTGCTTTGGTTGACACACGTGTGGACTGGAAGGAGACCCCAGAGGCCCACGTGTTCAAGGCCGATCTTCCAGGGCTTAAGAAGGAGGAAGTGAAGGTGGAGATTGAAGATGACAGGGTGCTTCACATAAGTGGAGAGAGGAACATAGAGAAGGAAGACAAGAACGACACTTGGCATCGTCTAGAACGTAGCAGTGGCAAGTTCTGTAGGAGGTTCAGGTTGCCAGAGAATGTGAAGATGGATCAGATTAAGGCTTCTATGGAGAATGGAGTGCTCACTGTGACTGTTCCTAAAGTGGAGGTTAAGAAACCTGATGTCAAGGCCGTTGAAATTTCAGGTTAAATTATTGATGGTCATCTTGATCAACTTCAAAATGTCGTTTGTGTTTGTATAAAACTTCCTTATCTGGTTTGTGTTTATGACATTTAGAGACTTGGAATTTTATAATGTTGGTCTGTATGTAAGCCATTGATATGTTACTATTCTAATTGAAGTCACCTTTTTTTTTGTTTATTCTTTTTTCTTTTTTGTTTTTCATATTTTCCTTCTTCCTACTTACTTCCACCATTGCTGATCGGTCCAGAGACAAATTTTACTATATGTAGTCTGATGTTTTGCTTGCCATCTTCTCTGTGTAATAAACAGATGCTAATTTGACTCAAATTCTGTTTCATATGATTTGCAACAGAGAAAATCTCCAAGAAAGAGAGAGAGATGGAAAACTAGTGTAGGTGAAGGATAGTTTGAGTTTCTTGTCCATTCCAAGGCTACATATATCTTATTCTTCAGCTAATTTTCATTCCAAGGGCTTCTCCATCACAGTTGCTCACACCCAATTCAGTTTTCCGATGCTTCAATCATCCTTAATTTATCTTCATGCCGTTATCAGAAGGCTCATGCACACTAGTAAATTCCCTGATAATATTTTAGCTTTTATGTCTGATCTTAACTTAAACTGCAGAACTCCACTCCAGGAAGTACTGATTCGAATCACTGAAAAACAGGACCAGTATGACAAGTTTCCCTGCGTCATTTATGATGGACTCATATATTTTGCAGAAGCAGTGGCTTGCAATCTGAAGCTACCAAGCATTATGTTACGCACTTCTAGCGCGACCGATTTACTTACGTACTATGCTTATCCTCGGCTCCAAGAGGAAGGTGATAATGAGCTCAACCTAATTTCTGATTCCTGAGACTACCACTTTTTGATACGGATTCAATGAATTTGGAATTAGTGCCAGGGCTTCATCTCCTCAGATTCAAAGATTTATCCATTTCCAAGTTCAAAGTACAGATGCCGTGCTGCAGCTAATATCTACTTCACGAGACATAGGAACATCATCAGCCATCATTTGTAATAGCATGGATTGCCTTGAACAATAATCATTGGCACAACTCCAACAACAATGTGAAGTTCCAGTTTCCTTAATAGGCATTATGCACAAAATGGCTCCAGCCACCTCGAGTAACTTATTGGAAGAGGACACCAGCTGCATGACATGGCTTGACAGGCAAACTCACAACTCAGTTATATGTCAGTTTGGGCAGAGTAGTACCCGTGGAGGAGAAAGAGCTATAGCAGAAATGGCTTGGGGCCTTGCTGATAGCAAACAACCTTTCTTGTGGGTAATCCTGATAAAGTTCATGGATCAGAATCTAGTGATTTATTTCCTTATTGTTTCAAAGAAACTGTTGGAGAAAGAGGGTGCATAGTGAAATGAGCACCGCAGAAGAAATTATTCGCACGCAGCGTGGTGGGAGGTTTTCGGAGTCATTGTGGTTGGAATTTGACACTTGGAAGCATAAGTGAAGGGGTTCCAATGATTTGTAGACCATCTTCTGGGGATCAAGGGATGAACACAAGGTATGTTAGCCATGTATAGAGAGTTGGGCTTGTGTTGGAGAATGATCTGGAAAGAGGGGAGATAAAGAGAACTAATAAAAGACTGATGGTGGGAAGAGAAGGAGAGGAGATGAGGCAGAGGGCAGGATTTTAAAGCAAAGGCTCAACTTTGTATAAGAGAAGGCTGTTCTTCCTATAATTCCTTGAATGAATTAATGGAGCTCATCTTGTCAGTTTAATTCTATAGACAGTTTAATTTTATCCCAATATTCAAATTGATGGAGGAAGTGAAGGTGGAGATTTAAGACGATAGGGTGCTTCAAATAAGCGGAGAGAGGAACATAGAGAAGGAAGACAAGAACAAACACTTGCCATCGTGTGGAATGTAGCAGTGGCAAGTTCTCAAGAGGGTCTGGGTTGCCAACCCTAAGGGTTTAGCCTGGTCAAGGAGGTTTGCCTAATTCTTTGAGTTTTTGGGTTCAAACTTTGATGTCACCTATCACAATAATATTGTGACTAACTTAGTTTTTTAAGCTTGTAGGGTATTTAATAGACCGCGGGGATTAGTTGAAGTGCGCTGCCCCGGACACCCAGTTACCAAAAAATGTGAGAGAATTTGAAGATTGAAGAGGTTAAGGCTTCAAAGGAGAATAGATTGCTCAGTGTTACTGTTCCGAAAATGGAGGTTAAAAAACCTGATGTTAAGACCATTGACATTTCTGGTTAAAATAATGATTGTAGCCCTGATCAACTTCAACATTGTCTGTATAATATTTCTCTGTGGTTACGAGAGTTTAGTCCTGTAAATTGGCAATATATGAGATTGGTCTTTATATAACCCATTAATATGTTACTATTCTAATTGAAGTCACATCTTTTTCTATAATTTCCTTCTTCCTGATTACTTTCATCACTGTCAGACTCAAACTTTAAGTCAACGAAATTAGGTAACTGTAACTGGTTTCAATTATATTTTCAAATTTCAACAAGTATTTCTTAAATGGTCTCATTTGTACTAAATTTCTACACAATATTTGTATTGACCAAATTTTATACTCATGAATGTTCTGAAGACGGGGTAAATTTTATATACGCTTTTCGTAGGTAGAAGTGTTGGTTGAATCTGGTCCATATTACAAGACGGGAGCATTTTGCTTCACAAATACAGAAGGGTAGTTTAAAAGATGGAAATAACATTGACATCACAGCAAAAACAAAAGCAAAATCCTAGTATTATTGCCGTCCATGAAGGCTATAATAATTGTCCTTGTTTAATAAACAGTTCGATAAGAGTGAAGTTTGTCTCTTTTCAGATGGTGATGGTATCTATGTCGTCTAATGTTATGCTTGCCGTCTTGTCTATATAATAAACAGATGCTAATTTGACTTCAATTGTGTTACATAAAATTTGCAACAGAGAAAAATCTCCCAGAAACCAGAGAGATGGAAAAACAAGATTGTAGAAGACGCAGGGTAGTTCTAGTTCCATGTCCATTCCAAGGCCACATCAATCCTATTCTTCAGCTGGGCACCATTCTTCACTCCAAGGGCTTCTCCATCACAGTTGCTCACACCCAATTCAAATTTCCTGACACTTCCAAACATCCTGACTTCCTCTTCATACCATTATCATTATCAGAAGGCTCATCGAACAGTAGTAATTTCCCAGATAATATTTTAGCTTTTATGTCTTTTCTTAACTTAAACTGCAGAGCTCCACTCCAGGAAGTATTGATTCGGATCATAGAAGAACAGGATCAGCACGACAAGCTTCCCTGCGTCGTTTATGATGGACTCATGTACTTTGCAGAAGCAGTGGCTTGCAATCTGAAGCTACCAAGCATTATGTTACGCACTTCTGGTGCGACCAATTTGCTAAGTTACTATGCATATCCTCGGCTCCAAGAGGAAGGTTATATTCCTTTCCAAGGTAATGAACTCAGCCTTATCTTTAATGAATGGATGCAGATACGATTTCTAATACCTGAGACTACCACTTTTTGGTGCAGATTCTATGAATTTGGAATTAGTGCCAGGGCTTCATCCCCTCAGATTCAAAGATTTATCCATTTCCAAGTTCAAAAATGTAGATGCCGTGTTGCAGCTAATATCTACTTCACGAAACATAGGAACATCCTCAGCCATCATTTGTAATAGCATGGACTGCCTTGAACAATCATCATTGGCACAACTCCAACAACAATGTGAAGTTCCAGTTTTCTTAATAGGCCCTATGCACAAAATAGCTCCAGCCTCCTCGAGTAGCTTATTGGAAGAGGACACCAGCTGCATGACATGGCTTGACAAGCAAACTCACAACTCAGTTATATAAGTCAGTTTGGGCAGCGTAGTATCCGTGCATGAGAAAGAGCTAACAGAAATGGCTTGGGGCCTGGCCAATAGCAAGCAACCTTTCTTGTGGGTACTTAGACTTGATTCAGTTCATGGATCAGAATCTAGTGATTTATTTCCTTATGGTTTCAAAGAAACTGTTGGAGATAGAGGGTGCATAGTGAAATGGGCACCTCAAAAAAAAGTATTGGCACATAGAGCGGTGGGAGGTTTTTTGAGTCATGGTGGTTGAAATTCGACACTTGAAAGCATAAGTGAAGGGGTTCCAATGATTTGTAGACCATCTTTTGGGGATCAAGGGATAAACACAAGGTATGTCAGCCATGTATGGAAAGTTGGGCTTGAGTTGGAAAATGGTCTGGAAAGAGGGGAGATAGAGAGAACCATTAAAAGACTGATGGTGGGAAAAGAAGGAGAGGAGATGAGGCGTATGGCACTGGATTTTAAAGCGAAGGCTCAACTTTGTATTAGAGAAGGCGGTTCTTCTTACAATTCCTTGAATGAATTAACAAAGCTCATCTTCTCAGTTTAATTTTATCGAACTATTCTCTTGCTTTCCAGTAAGATGTAGATAATTGTATGTTCTTAAAAATCCTATATATTTATCTTGTAGCCTTCATTATAATATGCAAAGTACAATATATAAGTAATTATACATGAGTATGCGCAAAGGTTTTCAAGCTATAGTGCATGAACTGCACCCTTCCTGAAAGAAACTTTTATCGATCTCAAATAGTCTCTTTGGCCTAACTACTACTTAAAACATATAGATGGAGTTTGATTTTTACAAAACAGGTACAAATTGAGAGTCCGAGCTTGGCCTTGCTAAGCGGCTGCAACTTCACTGGGAGACGAGTTAGTCCGCTGGATACAAGAACCAGTTAGACATCTAAAGAAACATATTTCGCTTGATTCATCTTCATTCTCATTCTCTTCCAGAGATCTCCCCATAGTTTCCCGAGTGAAGAAATACGTCACTGCCATTCCCAAAAAACAAACCCCACCCATCGTGATCAATGCTTTTGTCATACCTTCGGGTTTTGGATAACCGTCGTCATCTTCTTCTATAACCCACAACAATCCAACTGTCCCAATTAAGGCACCCACCTTTCCTATGGCCCCTGAAATTCCATGACATGTTGATCTAAATCTAGCCGGAAAAAGTTCAGCAGGCACAATAAAAGTGGTAGTGTTGGGTCCAAAATTTGCAAAGAAAAAAGTGAGGCCATAGAGGAACATAAACCAGAAATCTGCCTCTTTGTACCAGTGATACTGATAAGGTATTCCAATGGCCAAATAAACTATGGCCATAAAGAAGAAACCAAGGAATTGGATTCTGACTCTTCCAATCCGATCAATTAAATAGACAGTGACATAGTAACCTGGAATGGTTGCGCAGACTCCAATAATAGCCTGGACCATGGCAACTCTGATCACTTCATCATAGGGATTGGTAAATTCATCAACGTACTTGTGGTAAATTTTGGATTGAAAGAGGTTACTACTGTAAAAGACGATATCAAGGAGGAACCATGACGTGGAACTAGCGAAGAGATCACGGCCATGGTGGCGAAGGAATTTTTTGGATAGGAGAGGATAAGATGGTGGTCTTGGTTCCAATGGGACCTCTTCTGTAATTTGACTCATTGAAACCTGTAACACTTTCTCCATGTCTTTAGCAGCTTGCAGAGCATTTTGTTCTACCAGAGCTGTATATCTGCATAAAATAAAATGCCAATCAAACATATATTCTATGTAAACGATTATATAAATAGATATATTAAAGAGAAATATATTTATGTACCTAGCAGTTTCGGGCATCAACATGCGCCAATAATAAGTCAAAGCAGCCGGGATTGAACCCAGCATCAGTATTAATCTCCAGGCAATGTCGGCCCCAGCCAGATCAACTGAGGAATTTGATGGCGCTAGAGCAACCGTCGCATTTGATGGCGCCGGAGCAGACTTTGATGCATGTGATGCTTCCTTAAATATCTGACAAACCACCACGGTGACGATTGAACTTGCCAAAATTCCAAAACCCTGCATGGAAAACACAGCGGCTATGAAGGCACCGCGTGTTCTCTTGTTAGCAAACTCCGACATGATTGTTGCTGACAACGGATAGTCCCCACCAATCCCAACACCCAACAAAAACCTGAAAAACACAAGACTCCCGATTACACACTCCCTTGAGGTACAAACGGAGAAACCACATCCAATAGAGCTCATCACCATCAACATCAATGCAAGCCCATACACACGCCGTCTCCCGATTAGATCACCCATTCTACCGAAGATCAGTTGACCAATGACAGTCCCCAAAAGAGCTGTACCTATTATGATAGTCATAACATGTTTAGGAATATTGATTGTTTTCTTCTCATCATAATATATCCGGGAGATCAGTATCAGGATCGGAGGAATACAGAAGAGATCATAAGCGTCGGTGAAGAGCCCCATGCCGGCAATAATGATAGCTTTGAAGTGGTAGTACTGGGTTTTTGCAGTGTCAAGGGCAGAAAGGACCTTCAACGCCATTGATGATGAAAAAATTAAAGCAGAGAATTAATGTGTGTTAATCTGATAGTATAGTTAATGTTTTGATGAGTTCATATATATATATATATAAGAATTTATTTAAAGTGATTAAGTACAGTAAGTTTTACAAAGTACCAGGAAGTTTCATTGTTGACGAAGTTGATGTGGAAATGTTGACTGGTTTGAGGAATATTATGAGATTCCATGAAGGATATGCGGATAAGTTGATTTCAAATTCATTTGCTTCCTCAATTATGCAATTTTATAAGATTTATGTCCACAGCTAGAAGTCTGTCTGGGCTTCCATTTGCTGCTGGATGATGAAAATTCTGAAGAGTTTGGACATTGAGATTAAGATGTTTTATACTGTGACAATTATTATGCATTAAATGTCACTTGTCATTCTAGGTTTCTTCATAAACTATGTTTGACAGAAATTAAGAATCTGTTACTTATCGTTTTATCGTTTGATGTTTGTTTTCTCCCTACGTGCAGCGTTAGCAGAGACTGTGAAAAAAAGTCCAAACCCTATCTACCATTGGAATCTTTTAACAAAACTTAATATAATACGCCTGAGTGCATGCATGGAAGAAGCTGAAAAACAACACTTGCCATATCATATAGGAAGAAGAAGAAAGCAAAAGACTAAAAGGCAAACAAGATATCTCTTTTCTGTTACCAGCTGGTTAATATATACACCATTAATTATGCCGATATACACAGAGGCTAGTTCTGCAAAAGGAAAGAAGAAAGAACGGAAAAATACAAGCAGTCTCACCAAAATCCATTTTATAGAAGGAGCAACAACTCTCTTCCATCGAATAATTAGATAGTGGCCATTTCCCATGGTCACCACATTACACCCATCATATCCCTTTTGACAGATCCCTTTGTTAAACCTGATGAAATGGTTGTTTACTTGGAAAAAGTTGATACAGCAACCAACAGTGCAGATTTCTTAATCAAAGTGGCAAGTACAGCGAAGTTTTGAGTGGTGAACTACTAAGATGGGTCTATAAAGAATGAAATTGGCAATTGTTGGATATGGTTCATTGTTTACATGCAGACGCATCTGGGGATCTCGCTCACGAGAAGTTCAATTAATAATTGGATTGTTATTAGTTTACTAATATTTGAGTTTAGATCAAATTCAAGTAAACCCAAATAGAGTAGAGTTTTCTATTATATATATATATATGGTGAGAAATCTGATGTAATCAAAATATAGAGTGAAAGTGAGCTACCATCGTTATTCATTGTAATTATTGTAGAGTTTTGAAACTTAATCTAAATTTTTTATTTGAATGCTGTGTGGTGAGAAATCTGATGTAATCAAAATACAGAGTGAAAGTGAGCTACCATCGTTATTCATTGTAATTATTGTAGAGTTTTGAAACTTAATCTAAATTTTTTATTTGAATGCTGTGCGTAATTTTTTAATCGAAACGAGACAAGGTAAATTAAATTCTTAGTTTACGCCATTCAAACTCTATATATAAAGTGAAAATCGAGTGTTGGTAGCAAGCTCTCTCTCAAATTAATTAGCATTAACTTCACAAAGTATAAGTATATCAATGGGGAGAATAACAATTTCCCACCCAATGTTTGGCGTAGTTAATTTTCTGACCAAAAAAGTTTGAAAAAACATTTTCCCACCCATTGTTAAAATTAAAACTTTAGTTTTAATGGAAAAAGGCTCGTTAGTTTGTACAATTATATATATTTTAGGGTTAATATTGCTTACACACCAAATTAAAAATACATAAAATTACCTTCACCAACTTGGGAATTAGCCATTTAAACTATCTTCAATTTTAATTTTAATTTTTTTTTTTCAATTTAACTTCTTAGAAAAAGTGTGTGAAGAATAAGAACCAGTTGGCTTGTACGTTGGCCAATCGTCATTAGTAGGATCTGGGTTCAATCGTCGGTGGCGAGTTCGGCCATATTGCTGGTGCTGTTGGATAGATCGGTGTGTAAATGAGGAGCCCCTTAGTGAAGTCGTTTCGTCAGAAAAGGATGAAAAAATATTAGTCAATCTTTTCTAGCAAAACAACTTCGCTTGAAGACTCACAGTTACACTAGCGATCTACCCAAGGTGTCGACGATGTTGCCAAAAGCTCCTTCAAGAACGACGTCAAAGAGTATTTCACAAAATAGTCTCCAATGTTTTTCAAGGAATAGTTTTCACTAGTGGTTTCCTTGTTTGTGCCATTAGATCGATCGTCCACCGACCTACCCAATAGCACCGATTGTGTTGTCATCAACTGTGGCCGGCGAATCGATCGACCATTCTATCTTTTTTTAATTTTCAAATATTTTAAAAAAAAATTTATTATAATTTTTTTATTTTAATAACTAACTTTACTTTTAATTAAAACCTTAAAACTAATATAAACTGAGCTAGGGGTGAAATATACTTTTAATAAAATTTGGGTGGGAAAAATTATTCAGTCTCATTAAAAATTATAAAGTCAAATAGTAAAGGGTATTATAGTCTTTTTGTACCTTTATCCCTATTAGGTAACAGATCTCACTAACGGATCTTAATGATGGGTGGGAAATTGTTTTTTTTCAAACATTTTGGGTGGAAAAATTTGTTATGCCAAACCTTAGATGGGAAATTGTCATTGAAACGGTAGGTCGTTCTAAAGTTGTTTTTTTTAACCCAGCTGAAAATTTATTTTACAAAAAAGCCCTTTAACAAGGCCCGTGGGGCTAAAATCTCTTGTAGAGGCCCAAGAAACGAAAATCTGATCAACTTCCAGAACATTCTACATTCTTCCTGAACTGAAGCCTAATCCAGTATATTATCCAAGAATCACGAAAGTACTAGAATACCCTTGCCACCCACTATAAGTACCCACTCCATCCTCTACTACCAACACGAGTAGAACTTTACTAAAGAGCTTTCCGTGATTCTGAATTCTCAGCTCAAAAATGTCTCTGATTCCTAGAGGAAACATTTTCGATCCATTCTCTCTTGATGTTTGGGATCCTTTCAAAGACTTCCCTTTCCCTTCTTTTTCCTCTTCACTTACCTCTCAATTCCCTCGGGAAACCTCTGCTTTTGTCAACACACGTGTTGACTGGAAGGAAACTCCAGAAGCTCACGTGTTCAAGGCTGATCTTCCAGGGCTGAAGAAGGAGGAAGTGAAGGTGGAGGTTGAAGACGACAAGGTGCTTCAAATCTGTGGGCAGAGGAAAATAGAGAAGGAAGACAAGAACGACACATGGCACCGTGTGGAACGTAGCAGTGGCCAGTTCTCGAGGAGGTTTAGGTTGCCGGAGAATGTGAAGATGGATCAGATTAAAGCTTCCATGGAGAATGGAGTTCTTACTGTTACTGTTCCTAAAGTTGAGATGAAGAAAACTAATGTCAAGGCCATCGATATTTCTGGCTGAAATTAAAAATGGGTTCTTAATGTAAGTGCCTCTCTCCTGCGATAGAGTGTTATTGTGTTAATGTGTTTGGGTTTGTTGCTGTAATCGAGCATTGTGTATGAATAATGTGTCTGATGTGTTCGACGTAATGCAGAAGTGTACTGTTAATAGCAATGTAATGCTTGTATTTGTCCGAAGTGTATTGTTAATGGCAATGTGATGTTTGTTTTTGTCCTGTGATTAAAACTTTCTTGAGTTTCATCTCCTCTTTAACCTTTGGCTGGTTGATGTTAAGAAAGTCACAGAAAAGAAGGGATTAAAAATCCAGTGCGTTTAAAGAAAAGTGAGGATACATACAGCCATGAAAGACAACTCAAATTACGTTGAACAGAAAATCTAAGATGAAATTCAATGCTCTGGCCAGTTTTTCTTCTGGACTTTTGGAGTTGTGTTCAAGAGGAGAACAACCCGTCGACCAATTCGTTTAAGGAATTATAAGAAGATCCCCCTTTTTTAATACAAGATTCAACTTTTACTTTCATATCTATTGCCCTCTGTCTCAGTTCTTCTCCTTCTTTTCCGGTCATCAGCCTTTTTATGGCTCCTTCTATTTCCTCTCTACTCAAATCATTTTCCAACTCAAAGCCAACTCGCCATACATGGCAAATGTACCTCGTGTTTACCCTTTGATCCCCAAAAGATGGTCTACAAATCATTGGGACTCCGTCACTTATACTTTCAAGCGTTGAATTCCAACCACAATGACTGCAAAACCCTCCCACAGCGCGGTGTGCCAACACCTCGTTTTGCGGTGCCCAGTTAACTATGTAGCCTCTGTTTCCAATGGTTTCTTTGAAACCATTAGGCAACGAATCAGTAGACTCTGATCCATGAAATGAACCGGGAGGTCCACGCTTAAGCACCCACAAGAAAGGTTGCTTGCTGTGGGCTAGGCCCCAAGCCATTTCTGTTAGCTCTTTCTCGTCCATGGACACCATGCTTCCCAAACTTACATATATAACTGAGTTAAGAGCTTGCTTGTCAAGCCATGCCATGCAGCTTGCTTCCTCTTTCACTAAGCTGCTGGAGGGAGCTGGAGCAGTTTTGTGCAAAGGGCCTATTGAGAATAGTGGTATGCGGCATTGCTGCTTGAGCTGAATCAGTGATGATTGTTCAAGGTATTCCATGGAATTCAAAATCATGGCAGACGAGGATCTTGTGTCGCGTGCACTTGCTATAAGCTTCGATAAGGCATCTAGATTTTCAGAACTCGCTCCAGGAAGATCCTTGAATCTGAAAGGAAGATCCTTGAATCTGAAGGGATGAAGCTCAGGGACCATGTCCAGTGCCATATCGTCTGCATCACCGGATATCATTATTTGATAAACAGTTTTAAACAAGGTTACTAGTTACATAACTAAATTTCTTTTTCTGATAAAGCAAACATCTATATACAATTAAATAACAGCCCAAGACCTTCTTGATTACAGTTGATACTATAGATGGCTTTGATCACCAAGACGTAAAAGCGCAAGTAAAAGAAGTTGAGCAACCATACCTTGAAAGGGAATGAAACCGTCCTTTTGCAGACGAGGAAAAGCATAGTATGTTAACAAATTGGCAGCACTGCCCGTGGACAGGATAACACTTGGAAGCTTTAGAAGATGAGCCACTTGTTCGGCAAAGTACATGTATTCATCATATATGATACAGGGGAGCTCTTTAAGTTGCTGTTTTTCATCTATCATCGGAGTCAATGATTCCAGGAGCGGCTCTTTGCAGTTGATATTAAGACATGAGATGAAATCTACAATCCCTTTGGAGGAGAGATCGGAATAGGATAAGCCATCTGAAATGGGTAAAAAGACAAAATCAGGATTATCAGATGGTTTAGGACTATTAAATTGGGTGTGAGCAATTGTGATGGAGAAGCCCTTGGAGTGGAGGATGGAGCCCAGATTAAGCATAGGATTTATGTGGCCTTGGAATGGACATGGAACCAAAACAATCTGCGGATCTCTCTGTCCTTGCTCTTCCATGTCTCTCTCTGAATAATCCGTCTACCAGTGGAAATGATAAAGTCTTAAATAAATCAACATTCACCTACTATCCATTGAAATTTCTCCGTTAAAAGCATAATGCTTGTCAAAGTACAGTCATTTTGTTTAATATTATCCTGCATAGACTACAAAAGGTCCGACCAAACAATTTATAGTCAATTGCAATTAAAGCATAACTTCTAGACTTGCAAAGATTTGAAGACAGATGTTTCGCCCTCCCTTCTCAGGCAAGTGTTTGGGCCATGTGTTATACCAAAAAAAGGGTGGCTCGGGTTGCTTCTTAACAGTAGATTAACAGTTGAGTTATCTTTAAGGTCGTGTAATATCTTATAAAAGGACTTATTTACTATTAAGTCCGTGTTGTTATGCATTAAGAAAGTTACTACAAGAGTAAGGTTACTCATGCAACACTATAAATAAGGTCCTCTCACCCCAAATTAGGGATCGAGAATTTTATTTTCTCAATAGTTATAAAGTAATTATCTCTCTTGAAAACAAAATCTCTTGTAAACATATAAACAAAATAACAATGAGCCTAAAGAAAACTAGAAACCCAAATGCCAAAATGCAATCACTATGATTTACTGGTTGTATATCTATAGAATCCAGGTTTTCAAAATAAAAATGGGAGAATTTTTTTGACACAATAACATTAAGAAAATTTTATTTATTTATAATGATATAAAGCCATTACATTGTATATATATATATATATATATTTTAAAGAAAAAGACGAAGTCACCTGTTGAGTGCCTTCCTCCCAATTTTTATTAGAAGGCCTCACTTGTGGCTGAGGAAAACCGTGGAACAAACTGGAAAAAACCTGGGATTAACATAAATTCTAAAACAATCCTAACAACCAAAATAATACGGAAAACAAACCATCCTGAACCAAAACCCACAAATTCAAGTTTACCGTCTCAACTGAGGCAAACCCGCCTTGTCCAATCGAAGAATGCCTTTTAACTTCCTAGGTAAAGAAATAAAATCCAGGAAGGTATTATTATTACCCTCCTCTCCCCATCTAGCCAGGAAATCTGCTTCGCTTTTCCCTTCGCGTAATTGATGAGTTATGGTGAAATGAACGTCTCTTAACAGAATCAAAAGCTCATCCCAATAGTCCCATAAGTACCAAGCCGTGCTCTTTCGACTACTCAACCAAGAGACAACCAAAGTGGAGTCACTCTCAATATTTAATTGATTAAAACCCAACTCTTTACACAGTGAAACACCAGTTAGTAACGCTCTCAATTCAGCTTCATTATTAGTGCCATGCCTGAAAGAAAAAGAGAAAGCCCCTTTTAAATTGCCTTGCACATCTCGAATGACACCTCTTCCCCCACAGTTGCTTGGGTTGCCCCGACAACAGCCATCAACATTCAGTTTAATCCACCCTTCAGCCGGTTTCCTTCAATAAACCAGTTTCGAAGTAGTTCGTGCTCTCTCCACATAAGGCACTTCAAGATCCTGAAGAATAACCTCATCCCTAGGAGATATCGGCCAATGTTTCACCATAAGAGAGGAGATTTTACGTATCCATACTTTCACTGCCAACCAGACATTTTTCGCTGATTCAGCTGAGTTCTCCATGCGAGCTTTGCAATGACGCCTCCAGAGACGCCAGGTAATGATAGACGGTATGAGACCGAGAAGGACCCCTCTGTGACTCGACTTCCTTGCAGCATTAAACCACTGCATTACAGTCGACCACCAAGAAAGACCATGGACATGGTTAATACCCAGCGAGATGGCTGCCGTCTTCCATACCTCTGTAACAATACTCCCATTACAAAGCACATGACTTAAGCTTTCTGTGTGGTCATGAGTACATCAATTACACCGAGATGCCAACGAGATTCCAAGCAGTGGCACCCGAGAGTCCAGCGCTAGCCCATTAAACCTGGCTTTCCACATACACACAGAGATTTTCTTCGGAAGCAGGTGATGCCAAATCCAGACCATGCCTAGATGTTCAGTTCCTTTTACACGTATAAGGTCCCACGCGGAAGCCAACGTGAAATTTCCCTTAATAGCTGGTTTCCAAATGGTAAATATCACCTCTTATCACGTATTCATGCTTGCAAATACAACCCCATATCATTAATTAATTAGCCTGAAATTTCAATAGCCTTAATATCAGGTTTCTTAACATCCAGTTTAGGAACAGTAACAGTGAGAACTCCATTCTCCATGGAAGCCTTAATCTGATCCATCTTCACATTCTCCGGCAACCTGAACCTCCTCGAGAACTTGCCACTGCTACGTTCCACACGGTGCCATGTGTCGTTCTTGTCTTCCTTCTCTATGTTCCTCTCTGCACTTATTTGAAGCACCCTGTCGTCTTCATTCTCCACCTTCACTTCCTCTTTCTTGAGCCCTGGAAGATCGGCCTTGAACTCGTGAGCTTCCGGGGTTTCCTTCCAGTCCACACGGGTGTTAACAAAAGCTGAAGTTTCTTGAGGGAGTTGAGAGGAGAGTGACGATACAGATGATGGGAAAGGAAAGTCGTTGAATGGGTCCCAAGAAGGATCAAAGATGCTGCTTCGTGAGTTACCAAAGAAACTGGGAATCAGCGACATTTTTACTAAGGAACGTGAGTTTGAAGTAGGGGTTTGATATCAGAATTTGGAACTGAAGGTTGATTGGATGCTGAGAAAGTTTGCTGCTTGTTTCTTGGTAGCACAGGTGGGATAAGATGCAGGGGAGAAATCTAGCACCTTCTCGGTGTTTTGGGCTGTTCAGTTAACGAACTATTGGGTAAATTCCAGAACCTTTGAGGCTTTGCTAGAAGGTGTCTACTCTTTTATGGGGCTTTAAGCTGTTTAGATACGCATAGCAATATAGCATAACAAAATGAATTAAATTTCAAATACCATTACCTCAGATTAGCTTCAATAAATTTAACAAGTACAAGCCATAATCATGTTTTTGATTGAGATCTTATTTGTATCCAACATCCATACAGAAATGTTACAAAAAGTTACAACAGAACTGAACAATGAGATTTCTGGCCATTCTTGGGAGCATGGGGTTCATATGCCTACGTATGAGAGAAACCATCAATGGCATTAAACTGACATTATAAACTCTAATAATTCATTCAAGGAATTATAAGAAGATCCACCTTTCTTGATGCTAACTTCAGTTTTTTCTTTGAGTTCTGCAGCCCTCTGCCTCATCTCATCTCCATCTTTTTCCACCATCAGCCTTTTTATAGCTCTCTCTATTACTCCTCTTTCCGAATCATTCTCCAATTCAAATCCATTTCTCCATACCTGACTGATGTACCTCGTGTTTATTTTTTGATCCCCAAAAGCTGGTCTACAAATCATTGGAACCCCTTCACTTATGCTTTCAAGTGTTGAATTCCAACCACAGTGGCTCCAAAACCCTCCCAGAGCACTATGTGCCAACACTTCTTGTTGTGGAGCCCATCTCACAATGCAGCCTCTTTCTCCAACAATCTCTTTAAAGTCATCAGGAAGCCTATCAGTAGGTTCTGCTCCATTATCAGGATCAGGCCTAAGCACCCACAGGAAAGGTTGCTTGCTGTTGGCTAGGCCCCAAGCCATTTCTGTTAGCTCTTTGGCATCCACGGATGCTATGCTTCCGAAACTTATGTATATAACTGAGTTGTGTCTTTGCTTGTTAAGCCATGGGATGCAGCTGCTGTCCTCTTCCAGTAAGCTACTAGAGGAAGCTGAAGCAATTTTGTGCATGGGACCTATTGAGAAGTTTGGAACTTGGCATTGCTGTTGATATTGTGCTAATAATGATTGTTCAAGGCAATCCATGGTATTCCAAATGATGGCTGACGATGCCCCAATATTGCTCAGTATAGCTATAACTTGCCAAATGCCATCTAAATTATCGAAATTGGTTGCTGGTAAATCCTTGAATCTGAGGGGATGAAGCCCTGGCACTAACTCTGTTGAACTGGAATCTGCATCAAACATAGGCAGTAGGGGTACGATTATAGATTTGAAATACTACTACCCCTTCACATGATAAAACTACTTCATTAAATTAAGCACTAATCGTTACAGTTATTATTAGCACATCCTCAGTGAAGAAGATACTGAGTTCTTATACCTTGTGGAGTAGTGTAACCTTCCTCTTGGAGCCGAGGATATGCAAAGTACGTCAGCACACTGGCAACACTACCAGTTTGTAAGATGATATTTGGCAGCTTCAGATGGCAAGCCACTGCTTGAGCAAAGGACATGAACCCATCGTAAATGATGCAGGGGAGTTGGTCATGCTGGTCCTGTTTCTCTATCATCTGACTCAAAAATTCCTGAAATGGAGCCCTGCAGTTTAAGTTAAGATTTGACATGAAGGCTAAAAAATCAAGAGGCATTACAGGTTTGGATGATGTGCTATCCGGCAATGATAGGAAGACAAAATCAGGATGATTGGAAGTTTGAGGAGAATTGAATTGGGCATGAGCAACTGTGATGGAGAAACCTCTGGAGTGAAGGATGGTGCCTAGCTGAAGCATCGGATTTATGTGTCCTTGGAATGGACATGGAACTAGCACCAGTTTTCGGTATCTACACCCCTGTTTTTCCATCCCTCTTCTTTCTGGGAGATTTTTCTCTGCTATTAGTTGAAATTCTTCTTTCTGGAGCAACAGAAATTTAGCCTTAAACAAGTCGATAACTCCTACACAAACATTACCTCAGGTAAACTAAATGTCAATCAAATAAATTTTGTCGGATAGATGTATCCATAGTTAACCCCAAAGACATAATTTAGGCCTCTTCTTTATTTTAACCCTTTGACCTAAATACTGACAGAAGCAAAGGACAATACAGCTTTTTCTTGGACGGCAGGTTTTAGGATTTTCTTCTGTTTTTGCCTATGATCATGTCTTCCAGGCTTCTTTATAAATTTTCAAGCAGAATACTCCCCATAGGACACATAATTATAATAGTTTATATAACTCTACACTTAGCTGCGGCTTGGAGTGAAAAATCATGGATCTAGATGGCAATGCCGAGTACTGATACATAATTTGTATCCAAAGGCCTCATAAATAGCAAGTATTAATAAGGGATAGGCCTATGCCTACTTGACTCAATGACTCTTAATAGAAGCCACATTGCGCTCAGAAGTTGGCATTGTTTCCAATAGCTCAAACATGTCTCACCCTCTATGCCATACTTTTCTTACCCATCAACTAATCTCCAATAAAAATCAGCTACCATATTTAGATTTTTGTCATATTTTGATGGCTAAACGCATTAACATTCTGCTTTGTTAATAGCAGATTGGGCAGCAGAAATTAGCAAAAGATCTGAACTTAATGCAAGTACAGGAATTTTGCAAGACTAAAACACAAAATAGACCAAGCGTAGATTCATATTACATTAAAAGAGCCAACAATCGCACCTCTAAACCATTGAAACAAAACACATGTTACATACTCTCAGATCAAATTTGTTTATCGTGGGAGAGTGGCATGACTCTATTTTTCTTTAACCTTTTAACCGGAAATCTCAATAGCCTTCATATTAGGCTTCTTCATCTCCACTTTAGGAACAGTGACTGTAAGAACTCCATTCTCCATTGAAGCCTTAATTTGATCCATCTTTGCATTCTCCGGCAACCTGAACCTCCTCGAGAACTTGCCACTGCTACGTTCCACACGGTGCCATGTGTCGTTCTTGTCTTCCTTCTCTATTTCCCTCTGTCCACTTATTTGAAGCACCCTGTCGTCTTCAATCTCCAACTTCACTTCCTCTTTCTTCAAGCCTGGAAGATCAGCCTTGAATACATGGGCTTCTGGGGTTTCCTTCCAGTCGACACGCGTGTTGACAAATGCAGAGGTTTCTTGAGGGAAATGAGAGGAGACTGACGATAAAGATGAAGAGAAAGGAAAGTCCTTGAATGGATCCCAAGAGGGATCGAAAATGCTGCTTCGAGAATTACCGAAGAAGCTAGGAATCAGCGACATTTTTATGCAGGAATTTAAGTTGAAGGAAGTGGCTGAGATAAGAATTTTGAACTGATAGTTGTTTGGATGCAGAGAAAGTTTGCTGCTGCCTGTATCTTGATGATTACAGGGTGGGATAAGTTGGGTATTTATAAGAAGAAAGGCAGAAATCTCTAGTACTTTCTCGTTGCTTTGGACTTTTCAGTTGACGAACTTTTTGGGTAAATTCCAGAAGCTTCAAGCTTTTCTAGAAGGAATCGACACTTTTTATCGGCTATGGTCTTATTAATATAATTTCATTTATAGATTTTTTCTATTTAAAATAAAATCTATCAAAGTAAATAATAAATGGAGAACCTGAAAACATCACATAGCATACGGGTATTAACTCAAATTTATATTAATAAATATATGAAAAGAATAACAGGAACAGTAAGATTTCTGGTCATTCATGGGTCTTAGATGCTGAAGACACTAGTTCTGAATCTTCTGATGCCAATTTGTATTAAACTGACGTTATAAGCTCCACTAATTCATTCAAGGAATTATAAGAAGATCCACCTTTCTTGATACTAACTTCGGTTTTTTCTTTCAATTCTACTGCCTTCTGCCTCATCTCCTCCCCTTCTTTTTCCACCATCAGTCTCTTTATCGCTCTCTCTATCTTCCCTCTTTCCAAATCATTCTCCAACTCAAACCCATTTCTCCATACATGGCTGATGTACCTTGTGTTCACCTTTTGATCCCCAAAACATGGCCTACAAATCATTGGAACCCCTTCACTTATACTTTCAATGGTTGAATTCCAACCACAATGGCTCCAAAATCCTCCCACAGCAGTATGTGCCAATACTTCTTGTTGTGGTGCCCATTTCACTATGTAGCCTCTTTCTCCCAGAGTCACTTTAAATTCATCAGGCAACCAATCAGTAGGTTCTGCTCCATTATCAGGATCTGGCCTAATCACCCACAGGAAAGGTTGCTTGCTGTTGGCTATGCCCCAAGCCATTTCTGTTAGTTCTTTGGCATCCACGGATGCTATGCTTCCAAAACTTACATATATAACTGAGTTGTGACCTTGCTTGTTAAGCCATGAGATGCAACTGCTGTCCTCTTCCAGTAAGCTACTAGAGGACGCCGAAGCAATTTTGTGCATAGGACCTATTGACAAGTTTGGAACTCGGAATTGTTGTTGATATTGTGCTAATGATGATTGTTCAAGGCAGTCCATACTATTCCAAACGATAAGTGGAGTCCACTCTCAATATTTAACTGATTAAAACCCACTCTTACACAGTGAAACACCAATTAGTAACGCTCTCAATTCAGCTTCATTATTAGTGCCATGCCCGAAAGGGAAGAAAGCCCATTTTAAATTGCCTTGCACATCTCGAATGACACCTCTTCCCCCACAGTTGCCTGGTTGCCCTGGCAACAGGCATCAACATTCAGTTTAATCCACCCTTCATCCGGTTTCCTCCAATAAACCAGTTTCGAGTAGTCTGGCTCTCTCCACATAAGGCACTTCAAGATCCCAAGAATAACCTCATCCCTAGCAGATATCGGCCAATGTTTCACCATAAGAGAGGAGATTTTACGTATCTATACTTTCACTGCCAACCAACATTTTCCGCTATTCAGCTGAGTTCTCCTTGCGAGCTTTGCACGACGCCTCCAGAGACCCCAGGTAATGATAGACGTATGAGATCGAGAAGGACCCCTCTGTGACTCGACTCCTTGCAGCATAACCACTGCATTACAGTCGACCACAAGAAAGACCATGGACATGGTTAATACCCAGCGAGATGGCTGCCGTCTTCCATCCCTCTACAGCAATACTCCCATTACAAAGCACATGACTTAAGCTTTCTTTGTGGCCATGAGTACATCAATTACACCGAGTGCCAACGGATTCCAAGCAGTTGCACCCGAGAGTCTAGCGCTAGCCCATTAAACCTCGCTTTCCACATACACAACAGATTTTCTTCGGAAGCAGGTGATGCCAAATCCAGACCATGCCTAGAGGTTCAGTTCCTTTCACACGTATAAGGTCCCACGCGGAGCCAACGTGAAATTTCCCTTAACGCTGGTTTCCAAATGGTAAATATCACCTCTTATCACGTATTCATGCTTGCAAATACAACCCCATATCATTAATTAATTAGCCGAAATTTCAATAGCCTTAATATCAGGTTTCTACACTCCAGTTTAGGAACATAACAGTGAGAACTCCATTCTCCATGGAACCTTAATCTGATCCATCTCACATCTCCGGCAACCTGAACCTCCTCGAACTTGCCACTGCTACGTTCCACACGGTGCCATGTGTCGTTCTTGTCTTCCTTCTCTATGTTCCTCTCTGCACTTATTTGAAGCACCCTGTCGTCTCATCTCCACCTTCGCTTCCTCTTTCTTGAGCCCTGGAAGATCGCCTTGAACCGTGAGCTTTTGGGGTTTCCTTCCAGTCCACACGGGTGTTAACAAACTGAAGTTTTCTTGAGAGAGTTGAGAGGGAGTGACGATACGGATGATGGGAAAGATGCTGCTTCGTGAGTTACCAAGAAACTGGGAATCACGACATTTTTCTAAGGAACGTGAGTTTGAAGTAGGGTTTGATATCAGAATTGGGAACTGAAGGTTGATTGGATGCTGAGAAAGTTTGCTGCTTGTTTCTTGGTAGCACAGGTGATAAATGCAGGGGAGAAATCTAGCACCTTCTCGGTGTTTTGGGCTTGCAGTTAACGAACTATTGGGTAAATTCGAAACCTTTGAGGCTTTGCTAGAAGGTGTCACTCTTTTATGGGCTTTAAGCTGTTTAGATACGCATAGCAATATAGCATAACAAATGAATTAATTTCAATAACCATTACCTCAGATTACTTCAATAAATTTAACAAGTACAAGCCATAATCATGTTTTTGATCGAGATCTTATTTCTATCCAACTCCATACAGAAATGTTCAAAAAGTTACAACAGAACTGAACAATGAATTTCTGGCCATTCTTGGGAGCATGGGGTTCATATGCCTACTTATGAGAGAAACCACAATGGCATAAAACTGACTTATAAACTCTAATAATTCATTCAAGGAATTATAGAAGATCCACCTTTCTTGATGCTAACTTCAGTTTTTTCTTTGAGTTCTGCAGCCTCTGCCTCATCTCATCTCCATCTTTTTCCACCATCAGCCTTTTTATAGCTCTCTCTATTACCCCTTTCCGAATCATTCTCCAATTCAAATCCATTTCTCCATACCTGACTGATGTACCTCGTGTTTATTTTTTGATCCCCAAAAGCTGGTCTACAAATCATTGGAACCCCTTCACTTATGCTTTCAAGTGTTGATTCCAACCACAGTGCTCCAAAACCCTCCCAGAGCACTATGTGCCAACACTTCTTGTTGTGGAGCCCATCTCACAATGCAGCCTCTTCTCCACAATCTCTTTAAAGTCATCAGGAAGCCTATCAGTAGGTTCTGCTCCATTATCAGGATCAGGCCTAAGCACCCACAGGAAAGGTTGCTTGCTGTTGGCTAGCCCAAGCCATTTCTGTTAGCTCTTTGGCATCCACGGATGCTATGCTTCCGAAACTTATGTATATAACTGAGTTGTCTTTGCTTGTTAAGCCATGGGATGCAGCTGCTGTCCTCTTCCAGTAACTACTAGAGGAAGCGAAGCATTTTGTGCATGGGACCTATTGAGAAGTTTGGAACTTGGCATTGCTGTTGATATGTGCTAATAATGATTGTTCAAGGCAATCCATGGTATTCCAAATGATGGCTGACGATGCCCCAATATTGCTCAGTATAGCTATAACTTGCCAAATGCCATCTAAATTATCGAAATTGGTTGCTGGTAAATCCTTGAATCTGAGGGGATGAAGCCCTGGCACTAACTCTGTTGAACTGAAATCTGCATCAAACATGGCAGTAGGGGTACGATTATAGATTTGAAATACTACTACCCCTTCACATGATAAACTACTTCATTAAATTAAGCACTAATCGTTACAGTTATTATTAGCACATCCTCAGTGAAGAAGATACTGAGTTCTTATACCTTGTGGAGTAGTGTAACCTTCCTCTTGGAGCCGAGATATGCAAAGTACGTCAGCACACTGGCAACACTACCAGTTTGTAAGATGATATTTGGCAGCTTCAGATGGCAAGCACACTGCTTGAGCAAAGGACATGAACCCATATATATGCAGGGGAGTTGGTCATGCTGGTCCTGTTTCTCTATCATCTGACTCAAAATTCCTGAAATGGAGCCCTGCAGTTTAAGTTAAGATTTGACATGAAGGCTAAAAAATCAGAGGCATTACAGGTTTGGATGATGTCTATCCGCAATGATAGAAGACAAAATCGAATGTTGGAAGTTTGGGAGAATTGAATTGGGCATGAGCAACTGTTGATGGAGAAACCTCTGGAGTGAGGATGGTGCCTACTGAAGCATCGGATTTATGTGTCCTTGGAATGGACAGGAACTAGCACCAGTTTTCGGTATCTACACCCCTGTTTTTCCCACCCTCTTCTTTCTGGGAGATTTTTCTCTGCTAGTAGTTGAAATTCTTCTTTCTGGCAATAGAAATTTAGCCTTAAACAAGTCGATAACTCTACACAAGCATTACCTCAGGTAAACTATATGTCAACCAAATAAATCCAACACCTCGTTTTGCGGTGCCCAGTTAACTATGTAGCCTCTGTTTCCAATGGTTTCTTTGAAACCATTAGGCAACGAATCAGTAGACTCTGATACATGAAACGAACCGGGAGGTCCACGCTTAAGCACCCACAAGAAAGGTTGCTTGCTGTTGGCTAGGTCCCAAGCCATTTCTGTTAGCTCTTTCTCGTCCATGGACACTATGCTTCCCAAACTTACATATATAACTGAGTTAAGAGCTTGCTTGTCAAGCCATGCCATGCAGCTTGCTTCCTCTTTCACTAAGCTGCTGGAGGGAGCTGGAGCAGTTTTGTGCAAAGGGCCTATTGAGAATAGTGGTATGCGGCATTGCTGCTTGAGCTGAATCAGTGATGATTGTTCGAGGAATTCCATGGAATTCAAAATCATGGCAGACGAGGATCTTGTGTCGCGTGCACTTGCTATAAGCTTCGATAAGGCATCTAGATTTTCAGAACTCGCTCCAGGAAGATCCTTGAATCTGAAAGGAAGATCCTTGAATCTGAAGGGATGAAGCTCAGGGACCATGTCCAGTGCCATATCGTCTGCATCACCGGATATCATTATTTGATAAACAGTTTTAAACAAGGTTACTAGTTACATAACTAAATTTCTTTCTCTGATAAAGCAAACATCTATATACAATTAAATAACAGCCCAAGACCTTCTTGATTACAGTTGATACTATAGATGGCTTTGATCACCAAGACGTAAAAGCGCAAGTAAAAGAAGTTGAGCAACCATACCTTGAAAGGGAATGAAACCGTCCTTTTGCAGACGAGGAAAAGCATAGTATGTTAACAAATTGGCAGCACTGCCCGTGGACAGGATAACACTTGGAAGCTTTAGAAGATGAGCCACTTGTTCGGCAAAGTACATGTATTCATCATATATGATACAGGGGAGCTCTTTAAGTTGCTGTTTTTCATCTATCATCGGAGTCAATGATTCCAGGAGCGGCTCTTTGCAGTTGATATTAAGACATGAGATGAAATCTACAATCCCTTTGGAGGAGAGATCGGAATAGGATAAGCCATCTGAAATGGGTAAAAAGACAAAATCAGGATTATCAGATGGTTTAGGACTATTAAATTGGGTGTGAGCAATTGTGATGGAGAAGCCCTTGGAGTGGAGGATGGAGCCCAGATTAAGCATAGGATTTATGTGGCCTTGGAATGGACATGGAACCAAAACAATCTGCGGATCTCTCTGTCCTTGCTCTTCCATGTCTCTCTCTGAATAATCCATCTACCAGTGGAAATGATAAAGTCTTAAATAAATCAACATTCACCTACTATCCATTGAAATTTCTCCGTTAAAAGCATAATGCTTGTCAAAGTACAGTCATTTTGTTTAATATTATCCTGCATAGACTACAAAAGGTCCGACCAAACAATTTATAGTCAATTGCAATTAAAGCATAACTTCTAGACTTGCAAAGATTTGAAGACAGATGTTTCGCCCTCCCTTCTCAGGCAAGTGTTTGGGCCATGTGTTATACCAAAAAAAGGGTGGCTCGGGTTGCTTCTTAACGGTAGATTAACAGTTGAGTTATCTTTAAGGTCGTGTAATATCTTATAAAAGGACTTATTTACTATTAAGTCCATGTTGTTATGCAATAAGAAAGTTACTACAAGAGTAAGGTTACTCATGCAACACTATAAATAAGGTCCTCTCACCCCAAATTAGGGATCGAGAATTTTATTTTCTCAATAGTTATAAAGCAATTATCTCTCTTGAAAACAAAATTTCTTGTAAACATATAAACAAAATAACAATGAACCTAAAAAAAACTAGAAACCCAAATGCCAAAATGCAATCACTATGATATACTGATAGTATATCTATAGAATCCAGGTTTTCAAAATAAAAATGGGAGAATTTTTTTGACACAATAACATTAAGAAAATTTTATTTATTTATAATGATATAAAGCCATTACATTGTGTATATATATATAAATATATATTTTTTGTTTTTTTTAAAGAAAAAGACGAAGTCACCTGTTGAGTGCCTTCCTCCCAATTTTTATTACAAGGCCTTACTTGTGGCTAAGGAAAACTGTGGAACAAACTGGAAAAAACCTGGGATTAACAGAAATTCTAAAACAATCCTAACAACCAAAATAATAAGGAAAACAAACCATCTTGAACCAAAACCCACAAATTCAAGTTTACCGTCTCAACTGAGACAAACCCGCCTTGTCCAATTGAAGAATGTCTTTTAACTTCCTAGGTAAAGAAATAAAATCCAGGAAGGTATTATTATTACCCTCCTTTCCCCATCTAGCCAGGAAATCTGCTGCGCTTTTCCTTTCGCGTAATTGATGAGTTATGGTGAAATGAACGTCTCTTAACAGAATCAAAAGCTCATCCCAATAGTCCCATAAGTACCAAGCCGTGCACTTTCGACTACTCAACCAAGAGACAATCAAAGTGGAGTCACTCTCAATATTTAACTGATTAAAACCCAACTCTTTACACAGTGAAACACCAATTAGTAACGCTCTCAATTCAGCTTCATTATTAGTGCCATGCCCGAAAGAAGAAGAGAAAGCCCATTTTAAATTGCCTTGCACATCTCGAATGACACCTCTTCCCCCACAGTTGCCTGGGTTGCCCTGGCAACAGGCATCAACATTCAGTTTAATCCACCCTTCATCCGGTTTCCTCCAATAAACCAGTTTCGGAGTAGTTCGTGCTCTCTCCACATAAGGCACTTCAAGATCCCGAAGAATAACCTCATCCCTAGCAGATATCGGCCAATGTTTCACCATAAGAGAGGAGATTTTACGTATCTATACTTTCACTGCCAACCAGACATTTTCCGCTGATTCAGCTGAGTTCTCCTTGCGAGCTTTGCAACGACGCCTCCAGAGACGCCAGGTAATGATAGACGGTATGAGATCGAGAAGGACCCCTCTGTGACTCGACTTCCTTGCAGCATTAAACCACTGCATTACAGTCGACCACCAAGAAAGACCATGGACATGGTTAATACCCAGCGAGATGGCTGCCGTCTTCCATACCTCTACAGCAATACTCCCATTACAAAGCACATGACTTAAGCTTTCTTTGTGGCCATGAGTACATCAATTACACCGAGATGCCAACGGGATTCCAAGCAGTTGCACCCGAGAGTCTAGCGCTAGCCCATTAAACCTCGCTTTCCACATACACACACAGATTTTCTTCGGAAGCAGGTGATGCCAAATCCAGACCATGCCTAGAGGTTCAGTTCCTTTCACACGTATAAGGTCCCACGCGGAAGCCAACGTGAAATTTCCCTTAACAGCTGGTTTCCAAATGGTAAATATCACCTCTTATCACGTATTCATGCTTGCAAATACAACCCCATATCATTAATTAATTAGCCTGAAATTTCAATAGCCTTAATATCAGGTTTCTTAACATCCAGTTTAGGAACAGTAACAGTGAGAACTCCATTCTCCATGGAAGCCTTAATCTGATCCATCTTCACATTCTCCGGCAACCTGAACCTCCTCGAGAACTTGCCACTGCTACGTTCCACACGGTGCCATGTGTCGTTCTTGTCTTCCTTCTCTATGTTCCTCTCTGCACTTATTTGAAGCACCCTGTCGTCTTCAATCTCCACCTTCGCTTCCTCTTTCTTGAGCCCTGGAAGATCGCCCTTGAACTCGTGAGCTTTTGGGGTTTCCTTCCAGTCCACACGGGTGTTAACAAAAGCTGAAGTTTCTTGAGAGAGTTGAGAGGAGAGTGACGATACGGATGATGGGAAAGATGCTGCTTCGTGAGTTACCAAAGAAACTGGGAATCAGCGACATTTTTACTAAGGAACGTGAGTTTGAAGTAGGGGTTTGATATCAGAATTTGGAACTGAAGGTTGATTGGATGCTGAGAAAGTTTGCTGCTTGTTTCTTGGTAGCACAGGTGGGATAAGATGCAGGGGAGAAATCTAGCACCTTCTCGGTGTTTTGGGCTGTTCAGTTAACGAACTATTGGGTAAATTCCAGAACCTTTGAGGCTTTGCTAGAAGGTGTCTACTCTTTTATGGGCTTTAAGCTGTTTAGATACGCATAGCAATATAGCATAACAAAATGAATTAAATTTCAAATACCATTACCTCAGATTAGCTTCAATAAATTTATCAAGTACAAGCCATAATCATGTTTTTGATTGAGATCTTATTTGTATCCAACATCCATACAGAAATGTTACAAAAAGTTACAACAGAACTGAACAATGAGATTTCTGGCCATTCTTGGGAGCATAGGGCTCATATGCCTACGTATGAGAGAAACCATCAATGGCATTAAACTGACATTATAAACTCTAATAATTCATTCAAGGAATTATAAGAAGATCCACCTTTCTTGATGCTAACTTCAGTTTTTTCTTTGAGTTCTGCTGCCCTCTGCCTCATCTCATCTCCATCTTTTTCCACCATCAGCCTTTTTATAGCTCTCTCTTTTACTCCTCTTTCCAAATCATTCTCCAATTCAAACCCATTTCTCCATACCTGACTGATGTACCTCGTGTTTATTTTTTGATCCCCAAAAGCTGGTCTACAAATCATTGGAACCCCTTCACTTATGCTTTCAAGTGTTGAATTCCAACCACAGTGGCTCCAAAACCCTCCCACAGCACTATGTGCCAACACTTCTTGCTGTGGAGCCCATCTCACAATGCAGCCTCTTTCTCCAACAGTCTCTTTAAAGTCATCAGGAAGCCTATCAGTAGGTTCTGCTCCATTATCAGGATCAGGCCTAAGCACCCACAGGAAAGGTTGCTCGCTGTTGGCTAGGCCCCAAGCCATTTCTGTTAGCTCTTTGGCATCCACGGATGCTATGCTTCCGAAACTTATGTATATAACTGAGTTGTGTCTTTGCTTGTTAAGCCATGAGATGCAGCTGCTGTCCTCTTCCAGTAAGCCACTAGAGGAAGCCGAAGCAATTTTGTGCATGGGACCTATTGAGAAGTTTGGAACTTGGCATTGCTGTTGATATTGTGCTAATAATGATTGTTCAAGGCAATCCATGGTATTCCAAATGATGGCTGACGATGCCCCAATATTGCTCAGTATAGCTATAACTTGCCAAATGCCATCTAAATTATCGTTGCTGGTAAATCCTTGAATCTGAGGGGATGAAGCCCGGGCACTAACTCTGTTGAACTGGAATCTGCATCAAACATAGGCAGTAGTGGTACGATTATAGATTTGAAATACTACTACCCCTTCACATGATAAAACTACTTCATTAAATTAAGCAATAATCGTTACAGTTATTATTAGCACATCCTCAGTGAAGAAGATACTGAGTTCTTATACCTTGTGGAGTAGTGTAACCTTCCTCTTGGAGCCGAGGATATGCAAAGTACGTCAGCACACTGGCAACACTACCAGTTTGTAAGATGATATTTGGCAGCTTCAGATGGCAAGCCACTGCTTGAGCAAAGGACATGAACCCATCATAAATGATGCAGGGGAGTTGGTCATGCTGGTCCTGTTTCTCTATCATCTGACTCAAAAATTCCTGAAATGGAGCCCTGCAGTTTAAGTTAAGATTTGACATGAAGGCTAAAAAATCAAGAGGCATTACAGGTTTGGATGATGTGCTATCCGGCAATGATAGGAAGACAAAATCAGGATGATTGGAAGTTTGAGGAGAATTGAATTGGGCATGAGCAACTGTGATGGAGAAACCTCTGGAGTGAAGGATGGTGCCTAGCTGAAGCATCGGATTTATGTGTCCTTGGAATGGACAGGGAACTAGCACCAGTTTTCGGTATCTACACCCCTGTTTTTCCATCCCTCTTCTTTCTGGGAGATTTTTCTCTGCTAGTAGTTGAAATTCTTCTTTCTGGAGCAATAGAAATTTAGCCTTAAACAAGTCGATAACTACTACACAAGCATTACCTCAGGTAAACTATATGTCAACCAAATAAATTTTGTCGGATAGATGTATCCATAGATAATCCCAAAGACATAATTTAGGCCTCTTCTTTATTTTAACCCTTTGACTTAAATACTGACAGAAGCAAAGGACAATACAGCTTTTTCTTGGACGGCAGGTTTTAGGATTTTCTTCTGTTTTTGCCTATGATCATGTCTTCCAGGCTTCTTTATAAATTTTCAAGCAGAATACTCCCCATAGGACACATAATTATAATAGTTTATATAACTCTACACTTAGCTGCGGCTTGGAGTGAAA